TGAATGTAAGGAGGTGTGTACATGTTTCCCTGAACTTTTCATTTTTGAGGGTGATGGAAAAAATACTTGCTTGGAAGCTGCAAAACAAGAAGGAAATGCTCAGGAAAATAGAGAGGAGCTTCACAAACTTAATGTTCCTGTTGAAGAACTTGTAAATGAAATCCGTATTGAACCATTGAGCTCCGGGATATTGTGCTCTCAAGTAGACAGTTCTCATGAGAGTTCTTCTAAAAGAGCCCACAAGTGTGAAGATTCCTTTCACAATTTTCACTCAGCGTATAAAAGACACCTGAAATCTAAGAGAGCAAAACTTAATTCTTGTCCAGCTGGTCCTGGGATGAGAGTGGATCAAGAGAGGATGACAGAGTTCAAGAAACTTCAAAAGAAATTAACAGCACTTAAGAATTGCTGCAACAAAAATCAAAAGTACAATGTTTTGGTCACAATTGTACATCCTTGTCATATCAAAGAAATACAGGTGAAGACTAGACCAAAATCTTCATGTAAAGTTCCTGTAGCAACAGTTGTAGTTATTGACCAGTCAGAAACTGAGAGAAAAGTGGTGCTGTGGCGTGGTGCTGCATTTTGGTCGCTCACTGTGTTTCCTGGGGATATTGTATTGCTTACAGGTGAGAATTGTCATTTGCATTTTTTAATATGTGGCTCTTTAGAATGCCTGTTTAAAGTAGAGCAATATGTAACCGTGGCTAAGCATTTGTAGGTCTCTTTCTTGCATTACTTACATCATTCAACCGCACTTTGAATTATCACTCATCCTTCCAGTGGAACATCAACTGTCCCATAGAAGTTTGCCCGTCTCTTATGTATAGTCTTTGGTCTGAGAAATATAAAATGCTGTTGTCTGCTAATGATGAAGATTCCTCCTATTAAGTCCTTTGTGCTATTTAACCCAAAATTCCCTTGAAGAGTACACATCTTGTGTAAGACAGCTCAGTACTATAGAATGATATTGTACTTAATTTAGGGTTGGAGTTGGCCAGAACTTGATACCAATCTGGCTATTTAGGTTTTGCAAAATGCAAAGAACCCAAACACAAAACCCCAGAAACCAAACCAAACAAAAAATACCATCCCCCCACCACAATATAAAATTTTTTGAATACTTTTACAGTTTAAGATGCCTATTGCTCCTTGTTAAGAGTTCTTTAAGTGCTTATAGGTAGGTACAAAGGTAGATAAAGAGATTGAAGATAAATTGGGATTTTTCTTTTCTGCTTAGACATTCTTACCTCAAAATACATCAGAACTGTTTCTGGGTAATCCTACTACTTTATTACTCATTCTGAAATGTAGAGCAATAATAATTTACCCAATACAGTTACCTACTTGACCTGCTATGAGGGTATTGAATCATAGAATCATAGAATAGTTAGGGTTGGAAAGGACCGTAAGATCATCTAGTTCCAACCCCCCCCTGCCATGGGCAGGGACACCTCACACTAAACCAGATCAAATATTTTATATGAATTGAAGAATTGCATCAAACTACTGAGAAAACTTACTAACTCATTGTAAATGGTGTTGGTAGATAAAAAAAAAATATTGCTTTGTTTCCAAGTGCCCTCTTTTGAACTGTCTTTCACACCTGTATGTATGATAGTTCTGTAGTCAAGAAAAGGATAACACACTTCAATATTATTGGTACATGAGTTGATAAGGTTGCTTTTTTCTTGCAGATATAATAATGTATGAGAATCTTTGGTGTGGAGAAATCATGCTGCAATCTACATTTACCAGTCAGTTACTGAATCTGGGGAACTGCTCAGCCCTCAATCCAGAAGAATGTAAGATAATACTGCATAAGTTTCCATGAAAATCACAGTAAAATAGCTGTACTATACAGTTAGTTTATATATTATATTTTATATATAGTACTCCTTTTTGTTGGCAATGCCTCATGCACAGGATAAAATGGAAATGTGAGCAACTGAGAGGTACAAAACACTAGGAAAATATGACAGGAATACCTGTGGACATGATGACAGCAGATAGGTATGTGGAGTTTAAGGTAACGTTGGGTGGTTACCATTCAAAACTGTGAATTCAGAGAAAACTGATTTTTTTGACCTAAGAGTGAGTAGTTATCCCAGGACTCAACCATAAGATGTCTGAGATTTCATGAGGATTAATGGTTTTTTGCTAAGAACTGTAGAGGCTTAATGAATAAGGAGGTCCACTCAGGGAAAGTCATTGACTGCAGGCTGTTAAGCACAAAGTCTTTAAAGATATCTGAGCCATGGAGGGTTGGCAACTAAGGGAAAATACAGTAGAAGTATGACCATGAACTTGTGTTGTTCTTACTGTCATCTTCTGTCCATTATTGCCAGCTGTTTAAGGCAGGTTTTGTGCTAAAAAGATCAAGAACAGTTACTTTTACCCAGCTATGATACAAGATTTCTTTCCTATTTTTGGTGTAACTAAAAATACTGTATTTAGCTTAACTTTGGGATATTATCAAGAGGAGGCAGATGAAGTGCAGTTTAATTTTGGATGAACTGTTACACATTTCAAGAATTTTTGCAGTAGAATTGCTGTGAAATGGTTTTGTTTTCATCAGTGTAAATATGCACCGATTACATTTTATATTTCTAAGCTTAAAAAAAAAAAAAAAAGTGTTCCTCTAACTTTGGGTTTGGTTTGTTGTTTGGTTTGGTTTTGGGGTTGTTTTTTTTTCCTCAGTTTATCCCATAGTCAGTTGTGATGTTCTCCTTGGCTTGCTGGCATACATAGCATCAGAATTTCCACACTTCAAAGACATTCCACGAAGACCAGTTCAGAGGCTGGATAGTATTCAGTATATGCAGCTGGACCAGCTCCAGCCAAATACAGTGGTTCACTCAATCTTGAGAATTATCAACATTGCCGTATTAACAGGTAAGTTCATCCAGTGGACTTCATCTTCTGAAACTTCAACAATAGGTAAAACATAATCAGAATCGCCCTGCAAAATTACTGTTTATTTCCCATTCAGTACACAAGTATTTGACGTGAGAGTCACAAAGTAAAACCTTTGTCATGATCCACTCATGGGGGCATAGCAGTTAGAGAAATAGAGCTAGGAAGAGGAAGGGAATGATGGTTGTAGTCAGTTGCTGAAATGAGTTTAATGCATACTAGTACTGTTGACCACTGCTCGAGAAATGGGGCTAGCTTATGAAAATGTCATGTGGGACAGCCAAAGCTGACCTGACACCTTCCATGTAAACATTCTGTCATTAAATGAACATTTGATGGCACTTAGAAATTATGTGTTTTTCAGAATTAAATAAATTCTTTATTATTTTAATGTTTTTAGGATGTCCTTGCCTTTCTTATTTTATAATGAAAGTGTGATCTTTTATAATGTTTTATTCAGAATATCTGTTTCTTTTTTTTCCTATTTGGAATGAGTTTATTAAAGCTAAGTATTCCTGATTTCTTAAATACATGCAATATTTCTTTAATACTCCATACTGTGTGCCCTTCTTGTGCAAGTTCTTTTTGATTTTCAACGCTGGAAAATGTGCAGTGTGACACTAAGGTGTCCTACTGTGATACTCCTGTTTCTTCTGCATAGGCACAACAGACAACTAATTCATTAACATAATTTGGTTTGGAAATATGTTTCCTGTATGTTTTTATTGTAAAGGCTCCTCTCCCCCAGAGAATCAAGGCCAATAGTCCATGTACTGATTTTATTATATGGGTTTTTTGGTTTATCCTTCTGTCATGCATTCCTTTCTTTCTAATAGTGAATGCAGTTATTTCAGGATTCCTCTTGCTGAAGCAATTTTCCATGTTAAAATTGATAATTTGTTTCCATTCATAATCAGGTCCTACAGCTGCTTCCTAGCATCTTCTCCACCTTCTGAAGTGAACAAAGCCAAATAATCTTGAGCCATTCTCAGTATTTCATGTGGTGTCCTGCCATGTTTTTTACCAGTTAAAGACCACTGTTCCCGCATGGAAAAGGAGTCTTCCTGTCTTTTCCCTGCATAACTGTTTTGATCACCTTTTCTTTACAGTACCACTGTTGCATAATAAATTTTGCACATAAATTTGATCATACTGCACTAGCATCATGTGTTACCCACACTATCAATGTCATGTTTATTCATTATAAATGGAGAATTCTGAAAATACAAATCTTCATATTATTGTACATAACACCAGAACTGTTAGATACTTAAAGCAAGAATTATTGTTCAAAAATTTACTTGTTTATGAAAATATTGTAGGTTTAGTGTGCAGCTGAAACGTTCAGGCAGTATCCTGTGTAAGAATGCTGTAGAGATCTTAATTGTTTCAAGTTGTGTACTGTTACTAATCCTCTTGGTCTGCTTCTATGTGACTGTATTTTTCTTCCATGTGAAAATTCTGGAGAAATGTTTTAGTGTATTCCACAGAAGTTCCAGGAACTTTAACTTCCAATTATGACAGTCTCTTGCTGGGAGATTATTTCTTTCCACTTATACTGGTGAGGATGAGTGGGAGCTGAAAGATGCTCACATACCTCCTGTTTCAAAGGGAGGTGTCCAGTTGCTGAGTATTTAGATGGATAAAGGTAAATTAATATACTTTATGCATTCCTTCAAACTAGATTAATCTTACTGAAGAAATCAGATTGCTTTCATTCTGGCCTGAAGAAATTTTAGGTGTATTTTTTTCCCTTGTAGTACAAGATGAGATGGCAGCATGAATTTATTTTAATAGGGGTGTGTGGATTTTCTGTTTTTATAAGATTTTTACTGTAGAAGTCATATAATTTCAAACTTTTTCAGAATCAGTGTATACCTACAGAGGTGGCAACCAAAGGAAAATTATTCTAACAGTAGAACAGAACAGAGATCGACACTATAGAATGGTGCTTTGGGGAGCAGGGGCTGCATGGTACCCTCAACTTCAAAGGAAAAAAGGTAAAGTCCTTGTAGCTATAGGTAGCTGTACAAGTATTTTTGTGATGCTATTAATACCTTCAGAATGTGCAACATTTTTCCATGCAAGCTGTAAATACTCTCTGTGGAAGGACCACATAGTTGATACAGATTGTAACATGTTTTCTCTGCTCAGAAGTAGTGCCATCAGCAACATTATTTGAATGCACTCACTTCAGAAGACTGAGAAAGCATGAGTGTTTAAAACTTGAATCTAGACACAGGATGCCTAATTATTTAACTATAAAAAAACATTGAATGTTAACTGTGTTGCCAGTTCTGCTGAGTCTTCCCTATTGTTGTCTGGTTTAGCATGAGTTGCTGTTTTTTCTGCTTCTTATTTTAATTTGCTGTCTTCCACTTTACTACAGTGTCAGGCTGTATATCCTAATGGTCTTGGTATCAAGTCTAGCTGTAACAGACTAAAAGCATCTCTTGCAAGAATTACATGTGTAATAGCCTGTGTTTTAGCAGTGACTACTGCTGAATTTCATTTTATTCCTGGCATTGCTCTTTTAAAATACATGAACCTAGGTTTTTGTCAAATTAATAACTAAAGAGTTTGTATTTCTGATCAGTGGATACACTTAAGAAGTAAATGCTTTTTTAGTTGAAGTGCTGAATGTGCCTGCCTAAAAAGCCAGGTTTTGTATAGTGTAAAATAAAACCCAGAAAGGTTAAACAATCTCGTAGTGAATCTTGTAAAATAAAACCCAGAAAGGTTAAACAATCTCATAGTGAATCTTTTCCTATTAAATGTAGGCAGTCTGAATACTACTAGTTCTGCTTTGATTTATAAGTAATCATTTAACTGCAAGACCTACCTCTTAAGCTACTTGAAGGAGATGGTTCAATTTAAGCATTAACAAATTGACTTTAATACAGAATACCTACATGGACCTTATTTTTGTGCATACTTCAGCATGAGCAGATGTATACTGCCTGTTAGATGCTTAGAAATCTTAGAGAATTTAGCATGCTAGAATATTAGACTTCTCAAGATATGGAATTTAAAAAAATTTTATAGCTGCAAAAAGAAGATACCAAAGGTAATTTCTCAGACAACATTCTCTAATGCTTAAAGCAGGAAAGTATAAGACAGAGCTCTGTAGTAATAAGTGTACTTGATGCAAAACTTGTGTCCTATTCTCCAACTAGTGTACTGTGCATCTAGGAGGCATTTTAACGATTAAAGGATTATCTGAAATTCAAGGTGAGTGATTTCTCAGCTGTTCAAATTCTTAATCACAGACAAACCATGAACAGAACAGCTGTGTTGTGTATTTACTGGTTGTGTATGTGTGTACTGACTTATAACTTTTAAACTGTCCACATTCTTAAAGTACGTAAGATGATGCAGTTCTAGAGCATCTAAAAATTTTTCCTGATAACTTATATTTATTTTTCATTTCTTGCTAAAAATCAGTCCAATCTTCCAGTATACAGTCATCAGACATTCAGTTCAAATTTTACACTTATCTGGTTTAGATTACCAAAAAGGAAAGATTTATTTCATATCACACATTTCTCTAAACTTGATTACTTACAGTTTACTCATGTTTTGTGATCAGTTTTCTAATCAACAGAGGAATATCAAAGATCTGAATAACATGCTAAATTTGGGTCTCAACCAAATCTTGTACCCCATTTAGACTGTCCTCCACTTCCATGTATCCCCGCTTGCCAAGTGCATGTTTGTTTCCTCCTGTTTAGATTTTGGTTTTTGTTGCTGTAGTGTTAGTGCCTGAACCTTGCTTTGAACCAGAACATACTCAGTTTGGGGAGGCTGCAAGATCTTTAGTCAGATACAAGATGAATGAAGCTGCTCAGAGAAGATATTTTGGAGTATTTTACTGTAAATCTGTGTTTGGCAGCAGATTTTTCAGGAGCTTGCACTTCTAGCAAGTTACCACCAAAAATCAGACTAATCAAAAATATGAAAATACTAATATATGCTAATAAAATACTTACAGACACTTCAATACATTAAACAAAAAGTAATGAATCTGTATTTTTCTGACCGTATTTCCAAAACCAATTATTTTGGCTGCAGTTTTCACCTTGAGGAAACATGGGAAAAAATAACAGCCTAAATAGTTATCAGATTTGATTAGTAGGTGAATACTTGAATCTTACAACAAAGCAAAGGACAACCTAAAATATATTACTCTTCTGTGATCTCAATTTTTAAGCAGTTTTTCTTTAGAGTTGATTGGAAGATGGAAAATTAATTATTTTTGCATCAGAGCATTATGGAGATAGAAGATTAAAAAACAGGGACATGTTAAAGGTGGAAGTTGATTAGTAACATAAAGATGGCTTCTTCTAAACATTGACAACTTTTCCTTATTAGAGCTGACAAGAAATTTCATAACTGTTTGGTTTTTTTTTTTCCAAAAGTTGAGTTCTCTTGGAAGCTGTATTCAGTCCAGGTGAAATAAAAGCATCGTCCTGTTATGGGAGGACTTGTGTAAAGTTTATAGGGAAAGGAAAAGCCCTACATGTTGTCAGGCTTCAAATGAAGTTGGCAGAGCTGACCATATGAGAATGTCTTGCTGATCTGTTTCTCAGTCTTATAACTAACCTTGGCTTTCTGAGAATTAAGTAGGGTATAAAAAGTAAACTCTTCTGGGGCTTATTTGTTTTTTTTTTTGTTTCTTTGTTTATTTGGTTTTGGTTTGTTTGTTTTGTGAATGCTTATTCTTTTTCTTTTTTTCTGTAGATCACATATGGGACTTCAAATACCTTCTGGTGCAACATAGTTCTGTCTCAGGTGATTTTGAACTGCACACAACTCCATGGTCATCATGTGAGTGCTTGTTTGATGATGACAAAAGGGCAATTGAATTTAAAGAAAAGTTTCAGAAAAGCAAAACATCCCTCATGCAGGTGACAAAGCTCTCGGCACATTTGGAGGAAAAGTGCTCAGGTAAAGCTGTTATCCATAGCTCTGTAATGTCTGTTGTGCAGTGCATAACTAATGGCAGAATCATAGAATGGTTAGGGTTGGAAAGGACTTTTAAGATCATCTAGTTCTAACTGCCCTGCCCTCCTCACACTAGGCCATGTCACCCAAGGCTCTGTCCAACCTGGCCTTGAACACTGCCAGGAGTGGAACATTTACCACTTCTTTGGGCAACCTGTTCCAGTGCCTCACCACCCTCACAGGAAAGAACTTCTTCCTTGTGTCTAACCTGAACCTGTTTAAGTTTGAACTGATTACTCCTTGTCCAATAGATGTTCTGTTGATCAAGTTAAATACTGCTTTTTTTTTTGTTTGGTGTTTTCATTTGTTTGTTTGTTTTTAAAGTTAGCACAGTTCTATGAGTCTGAATTTATTCTGGAGGCTGCTGCTGCTCAGTACCCAGCCAGACTGTGATTGCAGCCTCATTCAGTGAGCCCAGAGGCAAGATAGGTGTGGTATGTGGCACCATACAAAGATAGCTTTGGCGAATGGGAAGAAATGCTGCCTTTTGTTGTTCATGCTAATCAGTCTAGCAACGATGTGATTAATAGCTGAAAGTTTGTCAAATAGTATTTCTCCAAAACTGGAATTCTCTAAAGTGAGAGTAAAATAGCTACTGCTGTTGAAAACATACTACAAAAGAACACATTTTACAAAACCAGTAAAGCAGAAGATTGCCAAGGTTAATGTTAAACATTAAGAAGTAACTAAATGGAGTTGGTATTGCAACGTTTAACTCGAGTTTATTATGTCTAATTAGTGGAAAGCTAAATTGTTAAAGCTGTGATTTTCAGTGTCTCTGAATTAATGTGGAAATTATTTGCACAATTGTAATACCTTGATCTCTTGTTCAGGCTCTTCTATAGTGGTATCTTATCAGCTGTAACCCTTGCTTTTGGTTTCAGTTATAAATAAAACTGAATGCAGATTTGACTGGAATTGTTGTTTTTGTAGGAGTGATTCAAGTGAAAGCTCATATCTTAGAACTGAAGTTTACTGTTTCAACTGGTCAGTACAAGCAGCTCATCTTTCGTGCTGACACTTCGCTGGAGTGTGTTTTGGCTTCTCTGCCTATGATTACGTATTCAGGTTGTGCTAAATGTGGTTTGGAACTACAGGCAGATGAGAACATGATCTACAATCAGTGTATTAGATGTTTGCCATACAACAAAGTAAAAATATTCTACAGGTAAACAAAATTAAAATAATGTGCACTATTAGGGAAGTAAACTACAACTTTCTCCATTTTAAGTTCCCTCATATAAAATTCTGCTTAAGGTATGTATGCTTAGCAATTCCTATTTTTCTAATGGATTTTCAAAGACCTGTTCTTTAATATGTTATACTGTATTATATTATAAGTAATATTCTGTGTTTAAATAGTTTTATTTCTTTGAATACTATGTCAGAGTGACAAGTTTTACCTTGTACTGTGTCAGTAAGCTAAGACGGAGTAGAAGCTTGAGGACCAAAGAAAGATTACTTGAGAGTCTTGTTTCAGCCAAATTTTGAAATCACATGAATGCACATCTATATTTTTAAACTGATTAATCAGCCCTAGCCTTGCAGAAATAAGATAAACATGTTTTCAACCAACATTCTCAAAGCAGAGATATAAATTGTCAGCAGATGGCACTGTTTGACAATATGTGCATTTACTTAGAGTAAATAAACAGATCAGTTGATGTAGGAACAATACTGAGCCCTGCAGAGTTCTTGAAACAAAAGATTAATCTATAATTTGATTTGCTTATTTGTGATTCAGGGAATGTAATAACTTATAACACTTATTTTAAAAGTGTGAACACTTAACAAATAGGCACCGTGATAGGAAAATAGGTATTGCAACAGGATCTGGGCATTTAGAAGACTTAGTCTTTATATCTCCGGTTTCTATACTGGAGGTCAATGAAATCATCCCCTGTTGTCTTTTTCCTTTGAAATGTAAGGGCACAGTTTCGTTAATCAGCTGTGACTGTACTGAAACTCATCTTTTCCTTCAGATGCCAGAGACACAAACTTTAGATAGATGCATGTGTGTATGCTTACATAGCTTTTTTTTTTTTTAAAGTTAGATACCTAGAATGTTGAACACAATAACAGTATCAGTAATAATGAGGCAGAAGTTAATAGAAACATATACTTTACATAAGCGTTGTCATATAATGTTGTAAATATTTCCTTCTCCTTTTTGTTTTTCCTAGGACAGTATGAATATTAAGCTAGAAAAAATCATGAAAACTAAGACAAGAAGAAATACTGTGTATTTCAGAGCTCACCTCTTAAATGTCAGATATCACAGATAGGTCCTTGTTTCTTACATCTGTTTTTGCCCAAACTTTGCTTCCTGGCATCTTTTCCCAGGAATTTGGTATGATATTGGCATTCCATTCAGATAATTTTTTTCAGTCCATTCTAATAAGTGTTTGTATTTTAAAAAGCTGAACATTTTAACAGTGGTAGTGATGAGATGAGAGATTCCTAGGTACTTGGTGCTAAGCACGGATTTAGTCTAACCTTTCTCTACTCGTGGAAAAGCCCATTTCACTGGCATGCTTGATCAGCTTAGTATAAAGGTACTAAAGACTATTTACTTGGTAGCCTCTAAAGATTGTTTATTTATGCCTTTAGAGAAATTTAGCTATATGCTTAAATATGTTTCTGACTGGTTTACAATCATTTAAATTCACCATGTTAAAAACAGTGTTTTTTAAGGAATAAAGTTAATCACAAAATGGCATTTTCTGTGCACTAGTGAAAGAAAACTAAGTGTTAGGCTCTGTTTTGAAGACTGTTGAAATTTCTTTCTCACCATGACAGTTAATTCCTGTTGAAGTAAATAAGATTATCTGAAAGAAGACTTAGATGACCTGGAGAACAGAGTATGAGCTGAGAAACAGGTAGTCAGAATATAATAATCAGGAATAATGCAAAATTAATCTTTTCTACTGTATCACTTGTTTTGTGACACATCACATTTGTAGACCACATTTGCCTATGGTTTTGAAAGCTTTACATTTTGTAACATCTGTTAGTACCTTTCTCTGCAAACATGTTTAAGTTAATTATACTGTTTCCAAAATGTTAATGTGTAGTATTTCTTGAAGTCAGTAATTTTCATGTACATCAGCATAAATTGTCTAAACCAAAATACATTTCTTCAGAGACAAAATAGCAATTGCCCACAATTATTTGGGTAGTGTATAAGCATGTAAGTGTATTCTTAAGCTTTCTGTCGTGAAGGGAGCCAGCAGTCTTTAATAACTACAGTAGTCTGGGCCTTGGTTTCTGTCTAGACCAACAGATTTGAAATAATCCCATACATAATCAGACATGGAGTTCTCTTACCTCTTTTAATCACTGAAATTATGAAATTTAGCAGTGGCTTTTAGATCAATGTATGGCAAGTCAAATGATTTTGCCTACTGGGAAAGTGGTGTATTTGCAGTCATTTGCCTCCATGCCTCACAGGCATTTCAGTTAATGCTGTTAGTTAGCATGATGCAGAATATACCTAAATTAGTCTGTTAATAACACTCTCTAGTTGTCAGTGTACTGCAGTACTGACTGACTGCCATATTTGACAGTGCAGATCTGCTAGTCTCTTGAAGTGACTGTCCTTCCTTCATTTCTACCACCTCTGCAGTGAGCACATTTTATATCCTCTTGGGAACATCTACCTTTGAAAAGTTCTGCATTGAAGATGACTGTGCCTTATTTTATTCGTTTATTTAACATACACTGTTTTGGTACTGTTCCAATGTTGCTATAACCAGGATTTATATTATTGTGATATGTCCTGATGTTTAGTATTTTAGTTACTTATGTGAGATGGTCAGGATAGAAGCATTGAATCCTCTTTTGGTCAGAGCAGTGCAGATTTTCTGAAGTGTGAGGGCTGTGATGGTGCAGATGTTACAGGTCAAATTCTAAATAGTCTCAGGGCACTGAAAGAGCATATGTTGGGTAGAAGCAGCATCAGCTCTAGAAATGATTAGGCTTAGTAAAATTGCTCAAGCTTGAAAGCAAGCAGAAACTACCTGTTGAACATCACTCTAGAGGACTGCTAAGGTATCATCATCTTGCAGAAGCACAGCAAAACCCAATAGAATAACTTATTTTATACTTTAATTATATAAAGTTCAAAGCCATAAACGACATAGCACGTATTTCATAACAATGGAGTTGTCTTGTCTTCCAGGAAAAGACCACTGCTAAAGCATTGTTTTCTGCAGTTGTCTAAAAGTAAGGCTTACTTGATAGATTTTGAAGTTATTTTAACGTTGAATAGTAAGTTCAGTGTAATCTCAAACTCATTCCAGCTCTGCAGATTTGACAGGCATGAGTGTGTAGAGATTTTCTAGTTTTTCTAGTTCCTGATGTTGTGTTGGAGGGTAATACTACCTTGTATTACTTTCAGAAACTTTGCTTAAAAAAAAAACATAGCAGCTAACTTTGAAGTCTTTTGTTTTCTGATTTAGACCTGCTTTGATGACAGTAGAAGATGGAGGATATGAAATTTATGTTCATGTGGTATCTGAGTTGATGGAAAAAATTTTCCTGAATATTCCTGCAGACTGGCTGAAGAGATTAGTAGGTACTGTTTCATAAATTATTTGTGATAGAAACAGGGAGTAAAGTTCACAATGGAAGTAAAATTTTTAACTATTGACAATTTAGGAGTGGGATGAGATTGTTCTGGATAATGTTTGCTTATACTGTAGAAGACTTACAAAAAAAAAAACCAACCAAAACCTCAGAACACTTTTGAGTTTGTCAGACAGCTACTGAAGTTAAGAGTTGAGGTATCAGATGGTATGAACATTTATTGTACTTTATATAGCAAAGTATTCAGTAATTACATGGATTCCTTATATGCAAAATAGACTTTCTTAGCAGTTTCGAGAAATAGCTGACATGCTTTCATGATGTAAATCGCTGAGCAATGTTTCAGATAAACTTCCCTTAATACATCCTGTTTGACTTTAGAGGTGTTTTACATGATTCACAGGTGTTAGTTAATGAGAAACAGTATTAGCACATTGGTTTTAAAATATTATTAAAAACAAAAGCTAATTTTATGTTTGAATATTGACACTTCCAGTAATTCAGTGTAGCTTTCATGGAAGTGGAACTTGACTGTTAAGTGCTATTGTGAAAATAAAGAGTAAGCTGGATTTTTCTGTCTTTTGCAGTGCCTTCTTCAGATATAACCTATGGCACAATAATAGCAGATCTGTGCCATTTGCTGCTAGCAGATACGGAAGCATCCTATTTGTTGGAAATTAGGAGCCATTTTGTACTAGATGAAAACAGCTATCCTTTGCAAAAAGATTTCCATCTGCTAAATTTTCATCCTGATCTTTGAAGGATTGACCTCTGCAGTAACAGAGACCATAAGAATACACAGATGGCAAACAGAAGAAAACTGAATTAACTGAAGGAAGCAAATATCTTTAAACATACAAGAAAGGATTTGGGGTTTAACCTATAAAAAGAAAAAAGGACTGGTATGGAATATTTGCTAAATGCATATGCTGCTGCTGTAATACTTAAAATTGTCATGAAGTATATTTTATAAATATATTTTTATCTTAATAAACTCTTACTTAGTATCTGGTTTCCTTTCCTCTCCAGTAAAATTCACTAGTATTGAGACTGAATTTTTCTCAGATGTGGATGCCTTTCTCTGATCATAATTCAGTAATAATTTGATTTTAAGATTAGAAGTTCCTGTATTTGTCAATAGTAATGGGAAGTATTGAGGAATGTGTCACATTTTGTATGATCTTGTATCTGTTTCTTGGATGGGGGTATTTGTGCTATATATCTGGGTAAAAAATTAAAATATTTTAGAAGAAAAGAAGCACTGTTGGCACTGAGAGGTCTTGTATCATTCTTCATCCTTCATCTCAATATAACTCTCAAGGACAACATAAAGGGGGTGATCTCTAAAAGGCAGTAGATAGAAAAAGTTGCTTTGTTATGTGACATAACCCCTTATTAAATAACATTTCTTGCTTTACTGGAGTAACTCTTGTGTTCAGGAAAAGTCAAAAAGGACCTTTCTCATTTACTTCACTTGAATGACCTCAAGCAAAATCAAGCACATTAGTAAGTGCATTTAAATATGTTTCTTAATGATTTTAGCTGGAATTATCGAATGCACAAGCTGGAAGTTTTGGTGCTTTAATATATAAGAAGCTCAAGGAAAAGAGACCACATTAGTATAATGCACTGTTTTATTACTCAGCCTGTAGTGTACATAGACATATGACTTCCCACTTTAGAGGTATTGACATTAATAAACACTGTACAATTACATACATCCTCCTGCATAAACTAGTAAACCTGTGTGAAAGATTTTTAACAATGTACTTTTAAGATCTTCAATGTTTATTAGTAGATTTAAATAATAGAGGGACATAATGTATTTGGTAAATATGCTTTATCATAGTAGTGGCATTATCACAGAGTTTGTATGTGGTTTTCATTCCCAGGTTGAACATGTGGATGGTGTTGAGCCTATAAGATGGGGTTTCAGTGAGTTTGTGGGAGGAAAATTAGAAAATGGCACATTGGGGCTGGGGCTGCTGGCATTACGCATTTGAAAGACACATATGACAGTTGAGCATTCTGCAAAATTCAATTAAATGTAGTGAGTCTAGGCTCATCTTATTCAGTGGTGCAGTTAACCAGACAGACTGTGAGTACCGAGGGATCAGGTGAAACGGAGTCTGTTATCTTATTATTCCTCTCAAATATATTCTCATTCATAATATTTCCTTTAGATAATAATATAAAAATGGAAAGTGTTCTCATCTCCCCAGAAAAGCCTCATGAATTTTAAATATATTGAATTACTATTGTATCCTGTTTGAAAGCAAGTTGGCTTTATTTCAGCTGCAGAGATTATCGTCCTTGGAACATAACTGTACAAGATGCTTTGCTGCAATAGACTATCTGGTTTATGACTGCATGGCGTGAAAGGTACAGAGTTCAGGTCCCCAGAGAATAATCAAGAATAGAAGAATGTCTTACTTTATTAAAATAATTGCTCTGAATTATTTTGCAGAACACTAATTTAGTTAACAAAGAAAACTCTACCACTAAAACAGATGTGTCCTGGGGGCTTAAGCTAATTGAGTTTTCAGTTAGAGTGGTCATACTAGGTCAAACCTAAGGTTCTTGGAATCAGTGCTGTCTCCAGCAGAGATGTGTTTAGGGAGAAATACATAAGGTCAGGTCACTTTCTTAGGGTGCTCCTATACTCCTCCAAGCCTCCAGTTATTTGTGACTTCAGAACTTCTTTCATGCTTCTCCCTTAGAGTCAACACAAAGTGTCATACACTGGGGTCAGCTGAAAACATGAAAACCAAATTACTGCAAAAAATATGCTGTGCTGGGGAATGTGAACAGGTGCATCTAAGTTTTTGATGAAGAAACATTCAGTGCTTTCCACCACTTATATTCAAAAGATTCAAAGATATGTTTTAAATATAATACTGCTATTTTAAATAAATTGTACACTTAGTAATCAGTCAACATCTTTTGGGCTTTGTGTGTTCTGGCATGTTTACTGGGCTTCCATCCCTTTTGGTGAAGCTGCTCTGTCCTTGGTGGTGCAATGCAGTGAACAGTAAGGCCTGCTATCATCATTAAAAATTCTTAGGTCTGTCCACATGATGGATGATGGCCATGGAACTCATGATCAAGAATTAGAATTTATTAGTCAAAATAACTAATACAGTGAGATCATGTTTGTCTGATTTGTTTACTGTGGTACTTATTAATTAAATTGGAAATATATTTTGGAGAGAGCAAAGATAAGAGTTACAGCTTACTAGGGACCAAGTCTTCTATTTGCATTTGGGCAAGGAAGGAATTTACTTATTTTATTCATGTCTACTTCAGAGTGTAAAATGGTCAAAGATTTTTGTTCCCTTTAGATTATGAAAGATAGCAGTGAGAGCTTTTACATGTTAAGGTTAGTTGGGGGTTTTATTATCCATGCTGTTACGTGCTGTGGCGAAGAGCATGCCATCGCTTAACCAGCTCCTTGGGCTTGCTGATCATTTCATTCCAGTGTTCTAGTTCTTTGCCACGGGTGTACATGAAAGGCCCAACTACTACATGTCCTAGTAGATGTGTTTCTGGGAAAAAAAGAAAGCAGTTTGTGATTAACAGCTGTAGTTGCTTCTTCAAAATCCTTACCTGAATTAGAAAATTAACTTTTATCTCTCTAATGCATGTTCTGAAAGTTCGTTTTAACCTAAAATTTTCGTCAAGGAATTAACTCTAGATTTCAAGTTATGTAGTTTTTACATGCCAAAATTCAGCATTAAAAAGTACTGCAAGTAAGCGAGTATTCGGTCAATTCAGGCCTACGCTACTGCCTGCACTCTAAACTAGAATCAGTTTAAAGCACACAGATCTGTATCTGCCCAGCCCCTCTACCTTAGGTGTAGTGTGGAAGTGTTTGTTTTGGACATTAGCAACCTTAGCAGGTCTCATATGATATTCGAGCTGGGGAAAGAATAGTTTTAGTGGGACAGCTGTGAGTTGCATTATGTGGGTTGCCACTGCCCCCCCTCATGCCTGAACTTGTCAGCTGTGGAGGGAGAAAAATAATTAAAGCCTGCCTTTACATGAACTTGAGAATGTTTCTGAAGTGTTAGTCTGTCTGCAAGTGAAAATGGTGGAAGACTACTTCTGTCAATCCTCAAAGCCAAAGAACCTGCCCAAAAATTCACCTAAAGGAATTTTTTAAGAAGTACGTGAATCCAAATGAGGGTATTAATGCTTCACTATTAAGATCATATCTGCACTGCAGGGAAGATGCTTTCTTGTGAACAGTGGAAATAGGAAATTATGATTCATTTCTCTAAGCAGAACTTCTTCATGCATTCTCTGACATAGTAAGAGGCAACTTCAAGCATCCGGTTTTCTTTCAGGGAATGGGGATGTTTGTAATCTCTCTTCTTTCTTACTACAGTAACTGCTGTGATAATTAAAATTCCTATTCTTCTTTCAAATTTGGTTAGGAACAGTGAATAGCCTCAAAATTTTGAAGGTTGGGAAATACACATAAAGAGAACGTAATTGCAAAAGCTTGTTTTTATAGGATACCAGAATGAAACCAAAGTACAGCACCTTCTATTGATAGTGACTAGCCTACAGTTATTTTATTCCTGTCTTCCATTAAATTTTTCTTTAGCCTCTGAAAGAGACGCGTACACTTACTGCAAATAATAAGTTTTGTTCTGCTCTTTGAAGAAATATCCTGTGTAATACCCCAAACCTTTGTACATTTTATGATTATTGCTGAAAAGGAATTCCTCCCAGGTTTAAGTATCTCTGCCGTATTTAAGAGATTTATGTTATCTTAACTGTAATAATTTATATTGCTTACTTTCACCCTTGATACTCTGGAGCACAGATAGATTTAGGCTTGCTGTATCCAGCTCTGTCTGATCTGCCTTGAAACTGAAGGTTTCATTATACACTGGATTGGGAGATCCCAGAACAGCTGCTGTCTTTTTACTTTTGATGAATTTATTATGGTTCATTAGCGAGACTTTGACATGCACACCTTGGAGAAAAAGATATTCAAGAGGAACATAGATCAGAGGCAGCTGGGAGAAGGCTTAAGAAATTTCTTGCTTTCAGGTGTCAATATTAAGTATAAAATTAGATCATGACTGATTTGCAAAACATATATGGCAGCACGGCAATGCAGAACATTAAGCAGGAGTACGCAAAGTACTTAGGGGCCAGTTTTGCAGTGTATTTTCCAATTTAAGGTCTGTTGAAAGGAGCAGTCGTGTTTTTACCCTGCGTCCTTGACCTTAATATTCCTGGTCCTTCCCTTCATCTGATGGGGACTTTTCTGAAGGCTTAGTTTGTTTGGTCAGTAGTCAATTTCATATATTTGATCCCATGATTGTTTGATTCATACAGGGAGGCTGTGAGGGAGGAGCCACATCACAGAGCTCCAGACTGTGTTTGGACTGGATAAATTTCAGGGGAGTAGAGTCTCCTGGTCAAAGAAGAAACCTTAGACAAAAGGTTTTACTAATAATTTCTAGCCCTGCGGTAAGGGGTTTGGTAGAAAATTTGAGGAAGAAAATGAGGAAGAGATCAATGATCTCTGCTCTTTCTTCTAGGAAATACTACAAAAATTGGTACGTGAGTGTGGGAACAAGAGCAAGACCAACAACAAAAAAATGCTTTGCTTCCTGAAGGGGACCTGTATTACGTTGTGGTCTTATTCAGTGGGTCTCTGGCAATGAGATCTAAAGCAGCCTGAAATCTTCTATTCTTCTCTGCCCTTCTACAAAATTTAGTGACAAGCATGTAGAAAATTAATTTTAATTGATTGCTAAAGATTTGTTCTTTTCCAGTGAAGCAGTAAGAGATTCCATACTGCTACTGTGATTATTACTCTGAGGCCAGGGACATGTGAGCATGGTATACCAGGAAAATGCCCACTGCAGTGAAGAAGAAAAATTGTGAGTCCATGCTATGGTCCTTTGGACAATGGACAGGCTGTCCTAAAATGGATTTTATTTTTTTTTCCCAGTTCAGTTCTACCCAGGACAGCTGTTCAGTGTAAGTGGTTGTCCTGCAGCTGTTACCTCTGGGCTTTTGCCTTGAAGCAACTCAGTTAAAGTCAGCATCCCCTGAAATGCTGCCTTCTCTGTAGTAGGGTAGTTGCTCACTGTATTAAAGCAGGAGAAAAAAAATGCTTCTGATGACATGAGACAAACCACTTATTATGAAACAAAATCAAAATGTAGCAGAACCAAGCTATCAAAATGTAATTACCCCAGTAATAAAGCATGGGTTATTTCCACACAAATTAAATCACTCATGTTTATTTTTTGTTTTCAGAATCACTCAGTGCAAGCCTGGGTGGACAGATGAGGAAGGAGCAAATTAAAACAGGAATTCTGGAGCTGATAGCAGAGAGGAAATCGCACTTACTGATAGAATGGCTCTCCTCATGGAGCTTTAATCCCCTTGCCCTCAGAACCACTACAGTGAGACGGCCTAGGTAGTCATTGTAGCTGAGGGAGAACTGGATATCACCATACTCTGAAGGAGGCTTTGGAAGCAGAACAACACTTGTCAAATATATCTCAAACTTTCTCTTCACACAGACAAATGGGGAAGGGGGGAAGTTGTCCTTTCTACTAGCGGTTTCTGCCACACTAAGGGCTCAATTCACATGAGTAATAAATTGTAATGGCTTTATTCTGTTGTGACATTGGATAGAACCACTTAATCAGCTTTCTGGAACCTCTGAACTACTATCTCTTCCAGGTGATGCTTGTTTCTGTGCCTTTGCTGCCTTTTTCCTGCTCTCACAAATTCAGAACAGAAGCAAATAACAAGAAGTGTGTTCTTAACTATTTCCTAGCTTCTGTGACTGTTTCTGGGCAGTTGGATAATCCCTGTGCAACAGCTATGGATCTGCAGGTTGGAATCTTGATTCCAAATGTTTATCAAATACTTCTGCATTTGATGTAGATATATGTTGTATCAAGTACTTCAGCTGTACCTCTCTAGTACTTGTAAGATGGCAGAAGTTCCACAGTGCCAAGCAGCCTGCTATCACATACCTCCAAGTTTTCTTTCTCCAGATCTCTCCATATGATTAGCTTGTTGTCATTGGTTAATAGTTCATTTTTCAGTGGGAAGATAACTTGGCCTAGGAGATGATGTTTCTTCTGCTTATCAACATGATAAACCAAAAACTTCAGAGTTCGATAGAACAACATTTTACTGGAAACCTATATGGGAAAAGGAAGACTATATTAATAATTATAAAACATCCGACACTTTAGCATGACTTCAGAGGAAGAATTTTTCAAAGTGAGTTAAAGGTAGGTGGAGATTTCCTTTGATTATTTGAAGTCCTTTGATTATTTGAACTTTCTTAATTTCCCTAAAGTTTTAGCTATGCTAAGTCTAAGGATACAAGCTAACATAGAATGAGTTATCTTGAAAAATGTGCAATTAACTGGTGTTTTTTTAACTTATGGATATCTAGTGTTATACAAAGCATTTGCTTCCAGATGCAAATGTCTAGAAATCTGTAAACACTCATTTTTCAGTTGGTCTGAAACACAAACTGTTTTTGTTTTAAAGCTTTTGTCTTGTGACACCTGCTGTGAAAGCCTCTTAGCTTAGGGAGCCAAGCTCCTAGCTTTATAGTGCCATAGAAATAGCATACCAGATAGCTCATGAGTTCTAGTTTCTAGCCTACTTCTACAGCATAGAAACTAAAAGCCATGGAATCATTAGTTCAGTATTGGTTGGTTCTGGACTTTTAGAGCTGCTCAGCTGAACTACTTGGGCATAGTTCAGACTAGAGCTTTCATCATTCCCAGAGCAAGTTCTGGAATCTTCAACAAGCAAGATCTTTGCTGGAGCCACAGGCTTCAGTAGCCCAGAATCTCCAGAAGCCCCAGTAATAACTCTTATCTCCAGTGGGAATGACTGGTAGCTTGGTAGAAGTTTGTAGAAATTTAATTTTCACAAAACATGTACTTAAGACAAGTCAATATTTGCAAACAAAAATCTGCTTCATCAAAAGGAAAAGTACCTGAAAAACAAAGTTTTCATCAAACTGCGGGTTAAGAGTTTTGCGTTTCATTTTGGATTGCAAGTAGCTTCTTTCATCAGGCAGCAAGTAGATTTTCACAAATGGACTACAGGAATCAGCAGCAGGAGGCTGCAGTTTTCTGACTTTGATCAAGGAGACGAGGAGTCTTTCTGACTCTTGCTCATATTCTATGGAGAACCAGAGGCGGCCAATGTTGCCTTCAGGAAAATCTGTCTCACTTTTGTCTTCAGGAAATTTGTACAGCTCTGGGTTAATGGTCCCTACAACGTAAGCTCCAGCTTCAAGAAATAAAAACCAAGAACACTCAGATTAGTCTCAAGACCATAGTAGGCGTTTTTGTAGCCACTGCTGTATTTGGGGAAATCACATTAATCTCTATATTAACAACCAAATTTTCCATAAACCTGGTATTTTAATCCCTTTTCCCTCAAATCTGGAGGAATAATTGTAGGCTGCGACACATTTCTTTTTTCTATTCGTGTGACTGTACCTTGATAGTTTTTTGCAGTCTGCAACTGGTCACTACTATTTCTGGGGACAACAGTTAGGCACCTTCTGAGAGCTACACTCATGCCTTTACAAAACACAGGAGAGATTGCTTTGTCTGTCATATGCACAAGGTCCCACAGCACATGGCTGTGGGATGTAGCCAGAATGGCTTTACTCTGGCCCAATTTCTACATGCATAAAAAAATATATATGCGTACAAGTGTTTAGGGCTTATACTGTCTAATGGTGTCTGGTATGCACCCAGTAAGCATGTTTCACAGTAATAAAGTTACTCTTTAAAAGAGTACCACTAAAAAGAGTCCTGGTTTTGCAATGCCATACCCAAAGAATGAAATGATGACCGGGGCCCAGACTGAGGAATCATGTAGGGGTCACTGTCTTCCTGAACATGTTCTTCGTTCATCAGATTAATCCAGTCTCGCTCTTGCAGTGTTGGTGGAATGATAAATGGAACGCTTCTGGATCTGCTCAAGACAACAACAGCTACTGACTTCTGCTTGGAAACCAAACTTGGTAACAAAAATAAGTTTCCTGTTCTTATTTCATAATCTTGTAAGAGTTATATGGAGATGTACAGGTAGAAAAGATATTGTTTTGCAAATAATTGTATAATGCCTAAAGGTCCATCTGATCTTAATTCTTCAGACAGATCCCTCACTTTTTCCTTTAATAGTTCTTTAGAATTGATCTTTCAAAGGAAAGGATGAATTAAATGCAGCTGCCTGCTTTAGAGCCCCAAAGCTCTGCACTAACTAACTTTCTAGGAGAGTCTCCTTTCTGAACCAAAGTGCTATTGTTTAGCTCTCAGATGCTTCGTTATGAGACCAGCAGGAAAGAATGGAACATAGGATGAATCTGTCTAGGTAACAGATAAAGTTATCCATGCACCAGTTACACTTGAATCTGTTCTCTCTTACATAAATCAGAAATAATAATTGCATTTGTAGATAAAGAAAGTACTGTTTTCCTTCAGGAACAAAACAGAACATGACTGATGTTTTTATACAATTTAGGGGGTCTCATTTACTTATGAACATTAATATATTTAGATGACCCCCTCATTTGAGATTTTACAAGTTTAAATAAAGTACCATTAGTGTATGCTTTAAAAACCAAAAATATATACCTTGTGCTTTTTAGCTGAATTTCAGACTGATCCTGAAAAACAGCATTTGCATTTGTCGTTTTGACAGCACCGGTGAGCTTTTCATAAGAATGGAACCAGCAAAATTTCTTCCAGAGCAGGTATGCAGTTATTCCGATGAGAACAAATAAGAGGATCCCTCCTATTATACCTCCAGCAACAGCAACTGCTTGTTCTGTTCAAACATAGAAGTATATAAAGCATAGGACGATCAAAGTTACGTATGTTTTGGGGATAGACAGGAATATTAAAACCGAAATATTTATTTGATTTAAATTCCAAAATGATTTTTAAGTGAAACATTCTGTTCATGTGCACATATTTGTCTTTGGTTATAGCATGATGCAACGCTTGAAGATGTATGACATCAACAGAGGTAAGAAACTGTTCTGATTTGCAGGCAATGGCTGTAGTGTAGAAGGCTCTAGATGGGGGGGGGACACACACGACACACAACATGAGACTAAACCCGAAGAGCTGTTTAGGCTCTTATTTTGTATTAGCATAAGCGTTTACCTTATCGTGGCAGAAGCGCTAGAGCTTTTATAACAGAAGAAAAAGAAAACACAGGAGCACCTAACACAAAAGTCACCATTATTTTTGTTGTTTTATTCTTTCAACTACTAATCTATGTTGAATTGAAACTAGATCCTGTCACAAGGAACAAAGCCAAGTTCTGTGTTGTTTTCTAAGGATGCATGTGTTTCCTGATCTGTAACATCAAACTTAAGTATCCATTAAACACAGTTTCCTGAATCTTGATTACTTCAGATAAAACCAAATCTTGTATAATTTGGGGTTTGGGATTTTTTTCACACTAATAAAACTTAATAAATGCATTTAATATGAATATGAGGAATGCTGTTGTGAAAATTTCTCCCTAGACCAAGGAAAAATGATTGATAGTGGGTTCAGTTTGTTGTTTTCTCATGTTTGCTGAATATGCTAGAGTAAAAGTCTGGAAAAGCCACTTCTGCACTGTACTTTATATGCAGCCTGTCTTGGCCTACCACTAAACTGGTACTGGTGCATTGAGACATGATTAGGTCTCAACTGAGAACTGGTTTTACCAGAATATTCGTCTGCCTGAGCCCAAACTGCAGAACTACTACTCACTGCAGCCATGTGAGGCAGTTTACCATCAGCTGGGTTCTGACGTACTGCCATTTCTCAGGATCTCCCCTGAAACTGAAGCAGCAAAGTGACCTGCTGTTCTCTCACAGTTGCTACTGACTTTTTCTTCTCTGCTTTTAGGTAGAGGTAACGGTGGTTATGCTTTATTCTTTTTTCCTTTTTATCTGCCTCTCTTTGGTAGATACTTTGCAGTTAACCACCTCTATATAATGGTATAAGTAAAATCAATACAAGGACAAAACAATCAGTCAACACTAGTAATCGTCTTGATTAAGAATTCAAAAGTAATTTTCTACAGTTTAGCTTATTGATTAGATCTATAAATATATAGGAAGTGAGCTGTAACTATGTGTATTACTGATCTTTTTCATGGTTGCCATGTTCCTGTAAGTGATATGAAATGTCCGTCAGCTACAGAACACCTCTGTAAATACCTTGTTCTAGAAAATTAACCTGGACGTAGTGCCTCAAAGGCCTTTACGTGATCCTCTCTCATTTTCCTGCATTTGGTACAATCATAGGAGCCAACTTATTTTTTGCAGCTTTGCTCCAGGTGTATTGCCTTTGCTCTCTGCAGGAACTGGCTGGCTGCTTCCCCATGAGTCATATAATCACTCATGTCTCCCAGCACCGTGGAGCAACCACCCTGCTCATGGCTATACCTGAGCAACAGGCACTTTGCTGTCCTTGCAACTGGCAGGTAGGCTGAATAGGTTTCAGCATTTAATCAGGCTATTGGTACAACAGTATCAGTACAAGACTTGTCTTGAGGAACATGAAACGAGTACCTATTTGGTATGGGTTAATATTAATGCAAAGAAAAGTCTGTACTATTACTGGTCATTTAGTTTTCTTTTATAAGAATGCATAGTATGAGGAAATGCATTAACAGATGCAGTCCTGAGCATGGAAAATGTGTGTTTGTTCCTCTTAGTCTTACTTAACTTCTTACTATTTAGGGCATGCTTGAGTGTGTCTTCAGTCAGATTGCTGTTTTATTACAGCTTAGAAGGCCAGATGCAGAAAAAATGCTTTAGTTTAATGCCCATGAACATAATAGAAATTAATGGTTCACTTCATGCAGGTGCACTATCAACAATACAAATGTTTGTATGGCCGGTGGTTTTACTGACATAAGTATCTTAAAAGTTAACATTTCATGCAAGCTCAACAGCCTATTTAACTTGTCCTTTCCATTCCAAAGTCTTTAATGCTCTCAGCAGCAATCCTCTGCTCTCCCCCCAACCAATTTGTCACCATTTCCCATTAAGAACAGTAAGCTGAGGTGCTCTGTAATGCAATAAAGAGTACAACGGCTGTGCATTGATTTTTGGAGTAAGAGAATGAGTTTCCAATCTCACGATTAAATGAGTTTAATGCATTGAATTTGTCCACTGGAAATTGTTAGCTATTTATGACCCACCTACTGCCATTGGCTCAAATTCTGTTTATTTATTTTTACACAGTGGTATATACAAGGTAAAGTTTTACTCATTTCAGCAAAGCTCCCTATGATTTCAGGAGGTCAGGAAAATTTTGCATACTTCATCTCACCTGCTTAGATAAGCAGCAGAACCAGTAGGTTAGAGTATGACGTAGTACTAGTCTCAAAATCAATCACTGAAATAAGTTGAGTCCGCAGGGAGAAAAAATATGTATCTTTTTTAAATAAGTACCTGTCATTGTGAGGAATTGATGTATTGTATTGTTCTGTGATCCAGGATCATGGCAGCTGGAGGTGGATGAGACGTGTTGGATCACTTAATCTCCAGGTGTCCTCTGTTAATAGGTACCACGTTTATCCTAGCACAGAGAAATGGTGACAGTCATTATCTTTTGTGTTGGGTCCCGCTTTGCTTAATGTCCAACGATAATAAGCTTTTCTTAAACTTTGCAGCATGCCTTTGGGAGTTGTGACCGGCCACTTACCCATCAAAAGCTTTCATCCACACATACTCAGATTTACTAGCAATTACAGTACGGGTAGAGTAAAAACCAAATTATCTGGGGTGGGGTTAAGTTCTTGGCACTTGCAGTGTCTGTCTCGCAGAGCCGGCTTGTCCTCCGACAGCGCAGTGCTCGGGGCACGGAATGCAGATCGGCGGTGCGTACCCGAGCCGCAGGTTGCAGGCTGCCTTTCCTCCCCCGGCTCCCTCAGCAGGTCGAGCGGCGCTACAGCCCGTGGAGCTCAGAGACAGGTTTGAGTCCTTTCCTTACCCTGACTTCGCCGCAGCGCTGGAGCGGCGGGCGCCGGGCTGGGCACCGGGGAGCCGGTTCCCTGTTGCCTGAGGAGGGCAAGGGCAAGGGACCGCGGGGCCAGCGGTGCGGGGGCCCGACTCCCTTCCGTGCGGTCACGGGTCCCTCGGCGGCCGGCGGTAGCTCCCCGTGCCGGTCTGGGGCTGCCGGCAACCCCGCGGATGGCTGCCCAGCCCCTCCCCGGCCCGGCCCTCCGGCACCCCGGCTGCACACGGCGAGGCTGCAAGCACGAGTTAGAGCAGAGGCGTCTCTGGTTCTGGCCAGCAGAAAGGGCGAGGGGCACGTTCGGAAGGAGTTCCAGCCTTACCTAGGCTCTTCGTGCAGGGCCAGCCGGCACTGGCGGGCTAGGGATGGGGGACAGGCACTCCGGGCTTCAGACAGCTCATCAGCCGTCCTGCCTGGGAGTGAGGTATGCAAACAGGCAGAGAAGTAGCCGCTGTACCGAGTAAACCTTCTGTCAGCCCTAAAATGCCCTGTGCAACGTATAGAACAAGAGGGAATGGCTTTAAACTGACAGAGCGTAGATTCAGATTAGACGTTAGAAAGAAGTACTTCACTATGAGGATGGTGAGGCACCGGAACAGGTTGCTGATAGGAGCTTTGGATGCCCCATCCCGGCAGTGTTCAGGGGCTTTGAACAACCTGGTCTAGTAAGTGCCCCTGCCCATGACAGGGGAGTGGAGCTGAATGAGCTTTAAGGTCCCTTCCAACTCTAACCAGCTATGCGAGATACTTTTTTAAACTATGATTGTGCTCAGAAAGCGACTTTGATAGTAGTAGCTTAATTCTTGAAATTCAGGTGAGCAAGAAATGAGCATACGCTTGCTTCAAATCAAAATGCATAAGCACAAAGGAACACAGAAAGTTTACTCAGACAGCTGCAATTACAGCTTTTCTTATTTGTGTGTATTAATGTAATGGTTTTCAATCTCGTGTGCGTGCAGTAAATATAACCAAACAGATCTTGACTAACAAAATTACTCACATATAGTTCAGAAACGAAATTATTCATCTTCACTTCTTGTCTGCTAATGCTTGTTTCTGAGCCAGTATGATGAGAATATACACCTTACCTTCGATAATTGTTTGTATTATACATGCTTGTTCTGTTCACAGCTATTGTTTTTTTTTACATGGTGTGATTTAATCTAAAAGCCGAAGAAGTGCATAGGAATTAAACTAGTAGGAGTCTAATGGAATATCCCCCAATTTCGTGGAATCTTTGAATTCTTTTAATTTCATTTAAAATGTTGATGTGGTATGGTTTAGCTTTTTCTATTATTTTTCTATTTATTTTTGAGTTCTCCATAAGAAAGAAAGTATTGAGCTAATTTTTACTCTAAAAATAAAAAGCTACATATGTTTCACTTTTGTACTTTTAACATAGGTACCTATTACATAAATATTGCATAATCAGCACTTTTGTTATTCTTATTTCTGCATTGAATTAGTATCAGTATTGCAATATAGATTTTTTTGCTCGGTAGTTTTGCACTTGCAAGGATAATGTCTGTTTGAGACAACTGGAAATTTTGAGTTGTGTGGCAAGACCAACAACTGCCTGCTTTCTATTACAGTGTTTTCACTTGAGCACACTTTTATGGCTGTGTGAGGAGTGATAACGTTGCTTTAAATGTCTGATAGATTTATAGAGTGCTGCTGAACAGTTAAAATGATCCTAGTCAGATGCACCTTCTCCCATACGAGCTGCACTGTGTGTGTAGACAGGTGTGAAGCACTTACCTCTGAGAAGCACTAGCCATCTGCTGATTCAGCTCTTGTTTCAGTGTGTTGGTAGATGAGATGGGCTGAGCTTGGAGGAGCAGATTTCACCCTGTCCAAGGATGAAAGGAATTAATGACAAAGCTGCTAAGCAGGGAGCTTTAATTTTGATTCTGTGCTGCATCCACAAACTTTCTGCTGTTTAGTCTTTCTGTGCTGAGTTCTTGCATCAGTTGGAAGTCAAAATACAGGATGTGAGGAACTCAATTTTACCCTCCTTTATTTCTGATTACTAACCTCCTTTCTAGCTTAAATCTCTGGATTTAGTAAATTCTCATCTGAGAGCAAGCTGGGAGTTTAATGTTTTGTGGACCTAGATATTGTACTATGAGTATTTGAAGTTTCTGGTTAATTTTTTTTTGTAATGTTAACATGTACATTTTTTTAGTGTGCATATATCCAGGTCTTGCTTCTTACAGTAAAAACCTTGGCCTTTAAAAGACCACATAAAAATTCCCTTGTAACTACAAAATTATATTTACTATACTTCAAGATAATCACCAAGATATCCTAGTTTAGAATACAGGCTAAAGGATGCTGCATTCTCACCACTTTGATTCACCATTGTGATTCTTTGAATCACCATTGTGATTCTCACCACAATGATTTTTGTAGTACGAAAGTAAAGAGTTGGGCCCCGAATAGTAATGCATATTTCTTAATGATGCTTTTCTCAGTGTTCTGTTTGTATAATTCTGGTAGCACATTCCTATCATGTTTTTGAAAACATACATTCTCATGGAATTGCATAGCTGATCATCCAGGGAGATACAGAATAGTATAGTTTCTACTGTATATGTCTGACACCTCTTTGCTTATAGGCCATTTCCTTGCTTTTGTGGTAGTTATCCCATTTTGAATGCTGAAATGTTGATACCATTTTTATGGCTGCTCAAGTGGCAGGCTTTCTTCTTGCTTTGGCAAAGCTGAAACTGATGCTGAAAAGGCAGATGTGGTCTCTGGAAGAGATGTGTAGAAAAGGTAAGCCTCAAAATATGCTGTAATGTTGCTTTTAAAATCTCTGAAAAACAGAAACAGTTTGAAATGGATTATAGTCTCTTGTTCTTAAAAGTCAGAACACTCAAGATAAAGAATATTCTGTCACAAAGCAGTTAATCTAAAAACAGTGCTGTCACATTGCTTGTGAGACGCCAAGTTAAGTAACATGTTTAATCATTCATCATATGATATTCTCATAATTTCCACTAGCATGGGTGAAATTTAATGTATGTATTTTTTAAATTGGATATCTTTGTAAACAGAATGATATAAATGGTGCCAAGCAAATGTTTCACAATCAAGTTGAAAGCATGTAATTACTTAATGCTGTTTAGTAATCAGTAATTTAGTAATGCTTTATAGGAGCACCCCATGACAGAGGATAGGGAAATACTTAAGATACAGCTGTAGAATTATAAGCATCAGTAGATCCTTAAGTAATCTTAGTATTATTCAGTTGACAGTTTCCCTCTAAAGACTAATTCTTACTGTAATTTATTAATAATCTTGAAGATACAATGGATCTCCTTTGATAAAAGGATTTTGTAATTATTTTGTTTTAAGCAGCCCTAGAATGATCTTTAAATTCAGGTATTGTAAGTAAACTGTATTCAAGTTCTTCTGCCTTTGTACCCACTTCCTTGTAGTTGTGAATTTTGATTTTCACACTGGCGGCACCTTCAGCTAGAATGACATTTAAAAAGAGGTAGATTCTTTTTTTCCCCAACTAAAATGTGGCCAGCTTTATTGAGGCTGATGAATCTGTCAGGGACGTAACAGATTAGGGTTTGCAGGGAGCACTGATGGGCACCCTAACTACAACAAATAGATTACATTAAGAAGTATGATTGTGAATGGCAGAAATAATGAGTTCTTAGAATTTCTATAAAGCCTTTCATTCCCATACTCCTGATTTCTGGACCAGCATTAATTCCTGGTAGTTAACCATCACAAAAGCTTTTTGAAATAATAGTTATTGTTATCCTTATTTTATAGATTGTTTAATAGCTGGAATTCCTCCAGAGTCACACTTGTGTAACTGAGATAAGAATTTCTCCCACAATCTACCGTTGGCCTTGAACTAACATACAGTTCTTAGCTTGAGCAAGTTATGGAAAATAGACTGTTTCAGAAAAGAAAATGTGAAACAAAGATCTACTCTGTCATGAAATATCCTTTGGATTCATTTTGGGTGTCGTTTGTTAGTTTCCTTTCAAAAGAAGAGATGGGAATGGGAGAGTAAGTGCATCCAGAAGAGAATGAGTCAGCCAGAACTGTTTTCTCTCAGCTTTACTATTGATGATAGTCGCCCTTAACCACCCTGAGTGCCTAGGGCTACAATCCAGAACAATTATCCTGCTAAAATTACAGGTATGAAATGGAATAGAGACAAAGCCAACATGGACAACAGGAAAAAAACCTTCAAAAGCTGCCATGTTTGGTGCCTCTTCAAAGGGCCTAGGGAGAAAGACAGCAAGAAAAAAAAAAAGAAAAGGGGGGAAGGCGAAGATAACTTTAACTTAGTTAAGGGGTTTGGTTTCCTACTTTCATTTTAGGCCAGTAAAACCCCTGACACTGTTTGTGTCTGTGATACTCCTCAAGGAAAGATAGGCAGAATGCTTTCTGGACCTGTGCAAACCTTCCACCTGTGGATATCTGTCCCATCAATTTCCTTCTGGCACAGAACTGGTCAATTGAGCACTGAGCACACAGAAAACTGCGACAGCTTGCACAGAGCAAGATGGATTCCCCCTCCATGCTTTGGTACTCATCTTTTGCTGGGTATTGGAAGTCCCTGACAGACTTGAACACATGATGCATTTGCTTTCTCTTTAGGGCCTTCTTACAAATCTTTTCAACACTGTTATAGTATATCTACTGCTATGGAAGTATACATAGGTAGTCTGCATATCAGCATTTCTACAGAGCTCAAAATGTTTCTGTTTTTTCCTTTTGCTTTTAGTACACTGTGACTGTTGGTGTTGCTGGATAATAAAATTTATGTGAGCTATAGCACCACCTCCTGTCCAAAGTTGGGCTTTGTTGAGAATCGACAGTAAACTGAGTTCTCTTAAAAGTGACATTTTTTTTTCTTTATGAAGCAGAATGCAGAGGATGTGAACTTTTATTCCTTTCAGTTGACTTTTTCTTCCTGTGTTTTACAATAGGAATTTCAGAAATACCAAGTCTGTTTTAACAGGA